ACCCCGACATGGAGGTCCAGGCGCAAGTGGAGGAATGGCTCGAAGCGCATCTGGTGGGCGACAAGGCCGCGAGCACACAGAAGGCCTATGCCACTGCATGGGGCAAGTGGTGTGACTGGAGCCGACGCCAAGGGTGGCTGACCCCGTACCTCGACCACAATGGCGACCCGATCAACAACGAGAACAAGGTCCTCGGCTACCTGGGCTACCTGGGCTGGCTAGGGACGTCGGTCGCCACCATGAAGCAGGCGGTCTTCGCCATCAAGGACGCACACAAGAGAGCGGGCCACGGAGATACGACCGTCAAGATGCATCGGCTATGGATCGTCCTCAACTCGCTGGAGAAGAACTCGGTGAAGAGGCCGCGACGGCTGGGCGTCACCGTGCAGATGATCAAGTGGCTGGGCAAGCAGATGGCTTCGGGTGCGGAATCGATGGGGGAGCTGAAGGTCGACTGTAGGATGATTCATGCCGCGGTGGTCACTGCCTGGTTCTTTATGCTCCGAGCCAGAGAGTTCTCGGATTCGAGTGGGGTTGATCAGGAGATGATCGTCAGAGGCCAGGACGTCTCCCTTACGACCCGGGGCCTAGCAGATGAGAGCGATCCCCAGGAGGTGACCCTACAGTTTCGCAAGACCAAAGCGGATCAAGAGGCCTTCGGGACTTGCAAGACGATGCTGAAGACGGAGGTTGAGTTCGTTTGCGTGGTCACGGCTCTACATCGTCTTCGGGAGGTGGCACCAAGGCGGTTTGGGCGAGGGCCGGAGAGCCATTTGCCGCTGTTTCGATGGGCATCAGGCCCGGTCATCAAGCGCCTGGAGGTGCAGAACCTGCTGCAGCGGGCCGCTCGTGCCCTCGGCCTACCTGCTGAGCGGTTCCAGTCCCACTCGCTCCGGATCGGCGGGGCCTCGGCGCTCTACCAGGCGACGGGCGAGATCGAGGTGGTGAAGAGGACAGGGAGATGGACGTCCTCGGCGGTGCAACGCTACCTCCACGACTCGGGGGATGTCCTGTCAGGACTGGCACGAAAGATGGCCAATGTGGACCAGCACGTGCACTACACCTGAGGATGACGAGGCTGACACGCAGCTGGAAGCAGTGGAGAGGGGTGGTGGCGGCAAGCCATAGGCGATGCGAATCGCTTGGCTGGAC